GGGTCACCGTGGCAAAAAACGCGCCCGTCAAAGCACGCGCGGCCGTGGGGGGGATCTCGGTGCCCAAGAGCAGGCACACACCTCCGGCCAAGAGGTAAGTGTGGGACTTCAGGCCTCACAGATTGAATGGTCTGACTTAATCTCACAGATTAGAAATACTTTTTTTTTTTTTCAAATGAAGTGATGTGCAGCTCAGATCTCAAAGCATGGTGTGAATCATGGAATCCCAGAGCGGTTTGGGTTGGAAGGGACCTTAAAGATCATCCAGTTCCACCCCCCTGCATGGGCAGGGACACCTCCCAGCAGCCCGGGTTGTGTCTAGAGCTGGGTCAGAGCTGCTGATTCCCTTTAGCTGCAGGGCTGTGGCTGGGAAGTCCTTAAAGGGCACTACCTCAGCTGGAGGGTTCCTGCATGTTAAGTACTTGGTCCCTGGTCAGGAAGCAAAGGCTGCAACCAAAATTAAATTCTGTGCATGTGTGGACCAGTGGGATGTGACTCCCCAGCTGCTGGGTGAGAGGTCCCTTTTTACCATGTGCTCTCTGGCCAAACCTTTTAATATTTCAGTATCTGTCTGTTTAAAAAAATAAGTGCTTTTCTTAAAGCACAGCTAATTACCCAGAACAGAGAAGAGCACAGGCTCACACTTAACTTGTGTCAGAAATGAAAATGATGGCACATACTAATTTGGTGCATATGTCTGGTTTTGGGAAAGGGAAAAACTCTTCCAGAGGACAAACAGACTCTCTCTACTGTTAATAAAACAATCTTACCAGATGACCTACCCTGGTGCCTCTGAAACTTTGCTGCTGGTGAAATAGGTTTGGTGTTTGTTTTGTCCTTAGCCAGGACTCTGGGTGGGCATTGGCCAAGGCCTGATTAGTTTTTAGTAGGGTTTGAGCAGCAGCACAAATTAATGAGGCTTTTCTTAAGCATGAGTCTGTGTTATTACAGGAACTTCATGCAGCAGGGGGAAAGCAGAGCCTGTATCATGTTCATGACTGAAGGAAGGGTCAGACTCCTGGGCAATAAGCACTTGTTGATTCTTCATGTCCTGTTGCAGCCTGAGGTTGACCTCTCTGTGTTTCCTTTTGAGTGTTTTAAGTGACTTGCTAAACTCTTAAAATTACAACCTGATTATTTTTCATGTGTTTAGTCACGTTCACAAGGAAAAATATTTCTCTTGGGCTCAGTGATGGGAAAAGCCCACAGCAGTGCTAATCACTGAGCAGAGCAGGATAAATACGTCCCTGTTACCCAGTAATAGTCACTTCATTTCTCTCAATGCCCGAAATTGCTGCCCTGCCTGCTATGACCTCCGGGGGTTTGGGCTGTGACTGCAGCACCTGACCCGAGGCAGCAGTTGCAGAAAGGCCAGGGCAAACTCCACCCTCCAAGCAGCATTTCTGCCCACCTGCAGTGCTCACTGGGGCCTGGTGGAGCTGTGAGTGATGGTTTGTGTGTCTCTCAAAGCAGGTTTCTGCAGACTGCTCAGGCTGCCGAGGACGACTCCTGGAAGGAGGGGTGTTACTGACAGCCCTGGTGCTGACCCCAGCTGGCTGGGCTAAGGACAGTGTGTGACCATGACCCTCCCCAGCCCCATCCCACTCCAGACTGGTGTGTATAGCCCCTCACCTTCTGCTGCCCTGCCCAGAGCCTGACCTCTTCATGGTGGAACCACCAACTGCATTACTGGGTTTCCACTGTTGAAAACGTGACTGAAATACGAGTCTTTGCCTGAAGACCAAGCCTGGCCTTACTTCCCAGAAACCTCTGCAGGCAGCCCTGGGGAGGGCTGGTCACCAGCACCTCCTGAGGTGACCTCCTCCTGGGGACTCCTGCCTGACAAGGCTGCTGGTTGTCCTGGTGGTGCCAGAGAGCAGCTCTGAGCTGCTGCCGTGGGCTCTCACGGAGCAGCAGCTCGGGGAGGTAGAGATAGTTCTGTAGGTGTTAGAAGTGAGACTTCTTCAGTTCAACCTGGTGTCACTGCTGTTTGTCTGGAACTCGACTGTTTGGGTTCCTTGGATTATTATGGTTTGTTTTTTTTTGTCTGTTTTGTTTAATTTTTTTCTGCAAATTTTTCTCATTAGTTTGCAAAGCTAAGAACGTTTT